TGTGGGCCAATCTTACTCGTGTTAGGTGGTACCTCATCGATGTCTTAATTTAGATTACCCTTATTGCCAGGGAGCTGGAGCATTTTTTCATATGTTTGTAAACATATGTTGTTTTGTTTTTTCAGAGCATACGAGGGCAAAAGGCACATACAAGGAACCTATAGTCATCCCAGCTTAGTCTTCTCACAACACAATGCCTTGGATGGCCCCGGGTCTGCTGGAATTCCTGGAATTTCTTGAATTCAGATTGAGCTGGAGTTGTACTGTGAACCACCTCGCCATCTTGTGACAACTCCAACTCTGACTCATTCTACTTACAGTGGGACCTGGAAGTCCACCTATCTAGCCAGTTCTCAGACTCTACTGATGCTGCTGATTCATGCTCCACCTTTACAGTAGCCAGGGCTTACAGAATCATGCTAACTGAGGCCACAACAATGACAGCCAAATTGTCCATGTCTTTCACCTGTCTGTCTCCAGGCTGCAACTATCACCCCCAAAGGTGGTCTCTGCAGTGAACACATCTGATCATTGGCAGAAGTGAGATTGGAGGCACTGGCTGCTGCCTTCCTGAACTACTGCTTCAAAAATATTTGTCCAGGAAGAGAATAGCACCCAGCACCGGGCGGCAGACATTTGTTCTGCCCTCTGGAGCTGATAGTAAAGCGTGCTTACTGCTCATCATGTAAGATTGTGGTTCTCTAAACTCAGGTTCCTTTTCTATCAACACTTGGTATGGTTGTCTCTTTGCTCTTCTCCGCATTGCCCTGTGGGAAATAAGGTTTGAGCAATTAGCACGACAATGAAGATGCTCTGGCTACTCTCAGATGCGGGTTTTGCTTTGCTTTGTTTTCTGGCTAGGATCCAGGAGACTTGTGGATAACTTCTTGGTTTGCAAGAAGGATGAAGATGCCATCGGTTCACAGATCTTGCCGTTATAGTCCTTGATTATACAGATCAAACAAACCCACTGGACAGAAAGCTCAGAATACATTCTTTAATGAGAATGGATTATTCCTTAATCCATGAAACTGTTCCTTAATAAATTTGGGGGAAGTGACACAACCTTTTTTTTTTCCCCCAAGTACAACAGTATTACTGATAAAAGATGAGCAAGATGGGACTAATACCAACCCACCTCTCCTGTATACTCAAGCTTTTTAATCCATGTGTCACCAATTTTCAACATGCATGAAACTTTGTCCAAATGTCGCTGTGGCATCCTACACCAGTGGCCTCAGCTTTGCTAGCTATTTTCCTGTTGGCCTTGGAATGTTCTCTGCCCAAATGCTGGCAATCAGGCCTACAGCTGTCATGTTTGTATGACCCTTTCCAGCCAGCGAAAGAACAAGAAATTGAACTAAGTGGCAGGTGATTTGTCAGGCAAATTCAAACAAAGATTTCCTGGTACATATAGTCTGGTTGAACTGAGATCTGCAGTCCTGAGAGAGTGATTGGGTGCTCCTGTGGGTCAGCAAGGCAGTTACCTGATTTGCTTATAATCACTCTAACGGACAACCTGTTTCTACTTAATGTGCTCAGTGTGTATATATACCTCAGAACTTAGAGATGACCCAAAATGGAAGAAAAAAAAATAAAAGTATTACAATAGGCTGGCAGGTTCTGGTCATAATCCAGGGGTCTCAGATGCTTCAGATAAATCTTCGGAACCTTTGGTCCAGAATGAGAGCAATGACTCTAGGGTCCCACCTGCTACAATGTCACCCCAAGCTCACGTGGCACTGGGACCTTGTGATTCCTCTCCAACTGCCCCCCTGATTTGTTTCTAAGACCAAGAGATCTGTTTATCTATTGTCCTATACATCACACTCAGCTCAGTCTCTGTCAAGCATTTTGCTGTATTACAACTCCCAGGACCAGCTGTAGAGACTGATTTTGGGTTGGTTCAATCTGGCAGGGCGAGTGAGGGTGGAAACGTTCTGTTCTACAGTAACTTTCTTCTTTTCTTCAATGATGTAGACAAGTTCCACATGCAACAATGCAAAAGCAAAGGAACTTTGTTGCTAGCTCGAGCTAGGGTCCATGCCTCATCCAGCACAGTGGAGTCTTGACAAGAACCCCGCTTGTCTCTTGCGGACTGTTTTTATTCCCTCCTAGTCACATATGACACGTATCCAGCGTGCAATTCTTATCTTGGTACTGGTGTTGGCCACATTCCATTTGTGGATGTGCGGATGCCCCTGATTGGCCCATCTCCAAGGTCAATTCCCCCTGCCCACTCCATCACTCTGATGAAAATGAAACTTTGAAGTGAAGTGAAACTTAGGTCTACTCCCTAACCTTAGGCCCATCATGGCGTCAGTCCTGTTCTTTATGCAGCAAACCCAAACAATGATTACAGAAGCCCAATATAGTGATTATGCGAGCAGTTGAGAAATTCCCTTACCGCTGCTGTTGTTAAGAGTAAATCCCTGCCACCCAGCCTTGCATCCTCAACTCCACATCAGTAGTGAGGTCTCTTAAAGGCCCACTAACATGACCCCTCATTGCATACTGGGTAACTTTCCTTGTATCCCCTGCAGAGCTTCCTGCTTCTAGAATTGCTGCAGTCCAAGGAAGCTGAATGTTTGTAAGGGATTGGCAAAAGAGAACAGCGTATTCTGTTATTGCTCACAGGAGTGTTTCCATTTTAGAGGAGCACCACTCAAAGCTGGGATTGAGATGATGCAATGAGATACCCGGGACAAAAAATGTAAAGGTTTCCCAGGCGAGCATGTCCTGAAAGTCAGCCTTGCAGGCTTCACAGTCTTCCAACAGCTCTTCCTAGACTTGACTAAAAGCCCCAGGATGGATGGATAAATCAGTCTAGGGAAATCCCATCAGTCTTCAGGTCCACATCCCCTCCTGCTGCCTGTGACTGAGTCAGTTGTTTGTCCTCCTTCTTCTGATAACTGGAAAGTAGCAAAGGAAGATCTCATTTCTAACCTCAACCCTCAGAGGTGTCAGGCTTGGCCCACTCATCAGGGAAGGGCCTAGATCAGCCCCAGCGCTAGGGCTCCATTCGTGTTCCTCTGTCCTTTGACTACACTCTAGAAAGAACCTGGGGACATCAGTTATGCTTCAGAAATATTTCCCTCTGAAATTTGGATCTTGAAACATCACTTACTCAGTTTAATGATGATTGGGATTCTTCGGTATTTTGGTCTCATTAAATCTTCAGTAAAGATAGTTGAGGTCCAATCTGTAGGCGATACAGAAAAGTCAAGGAGAAAACAAGATGATAAATGCCAGCAAATTAGCTTGCAGAACCTGACAAGGACATTAAGAGAACATGATAACTTGTTGCTTTATTTTAGCACAGTTCTCTCATTTCCAAACCAAAATATATAGATTATAATCATTCCTCGGTCCTTTGTGGAGAACATTGACAAGATGTCCAAGCTCCCCAAATTCAATGAGGTTCAAGTCCCTGATGCACATTCTTCTAGATGGCTTAAATCTCTAGATTTCTTATAAAAACTAACACAACTGAAATACTGTATTGTTAAGGAAGCAATGACCAAAAAAACCCACATCCTGTGCGTGTTCAGTGCAGGCCTGAGTATTTTTTCAAGTGTGGTTGGTGGGAATTGGTTATGTGATTGTAGAACCTGTTGATACAGAAGACTGGTGGTTATCTGAATTTCCTGAGCGTCTCCTTTTGAGCAGTGGTGAGAGAAGGGTCAGAGTGGGTGTGTGCAAACACCTGTTGGCCAAACTGCCCTTTCCATGAATGAGAGCAGCGGCTGAGCCCTCTCTCAAGGGCTGCTTGTTGACATCTTACCCAAGATGTGATTCTTCCCCTAGCAGCAGTAGCACTGAATAACCACTCAGTCCAGCAGGGACTCCTACTACATCAGTCTGCTTCCAGAATGCCTAGGAAATGGACTCAATCAGCAGCAGTGTTCTGCAAGTACACTTGAACCACTGCTTCCGCTACTTTGTGTCACCTGGCTGAGCTCTGGGGATGCTCTCTGGCCTGCAGTGTTGCTTATGGCTGTTTTCCTCCGGAGAAGTGGCTGCTTCCTGCTCTGGTAAAATGACATCTACCTGTGAGGCCTTGGGGAGGCCTTTTCCTCCTGCTTCAGATGTGTCATATTCATCCATGTAAGGGCTGAAGCACCACCCTGGCCTCACACATGGCTTTGTCATACAGTGACCTGCTTCAAAAATAAGCCTGATACCAGGGTTGGCTCTCTGCATTATACTAAAACTGTAGAGGGCAGAGAGAGATGGGAAGCTAGGCTGCACTTTAGCACAAGTTATCTTCGTGGGAGTTATGCTGTCAACTATTGGCTGCTGACCAATACCAGGGGACAGGGTGACAATACCAGGAAGGTTCAACATGTGTTAGCAATTAAGACTCTTTTCTTGCTTTGGAACAAAAGGAAATACTTGGAGGGGCCTTAGTTTGCTAATCTAGGTAATTGGTAGGGGAAGGCAGAGTAGGAGGGGAAGTAAAAGGAGGTGAGTGACATAGGAAAGCCACGCAGCCACAGACAAAAGTGGAGATGATGAGGCATTCAGGCAAGGAAGTGGAGATGGGGCAAGAGGAAATCCAAAGGGATATGTCAGGTGTTTTTTTTTTTTTTTTCCCAGAAGGAGTGCTATATGTTATAATATTTAGCACCTCTTCATCTTTCCAAGAGGTGCAAGGATAGTTCAAAAAGTTCATGGACAACGTGTATCTTGAAAAAAGAAAATGCTGTATGGGTTTCAAGCTGTTTCTGCACCAAAACAAATGTATCTCTTCATTCCATTTTCCATGAGATCTTGATGTGCTCTGTGCTCAGCGAAAGAGCCACATGTTAGTGCAGGATAGAACTGAATGTATTTCTAATACCCACGAAAAATTCCTGAGTCGTGGAGCTAGGTTAACTCCATGTGAAGAGCCCAGGGCATTCGGTTCTTGGTAGAGCCAGCAGCTGCCCCTAAAGTCTGATTCAAAACTTTCAAGATTGAGCACATTACCACAGCTGTTTAATAAGGAGTGATACCTTGTGCTCGGTTTGGCAGCACATATACTAAAATTGGAACAATACAGAGAAGATGAGCATGGATCCTGCTCAAGGATGATACGCAAATTCATGAAACGTTCCATATTTTAAAAAAGAATAATAAGGAGTGATATCTTGATGCCTACATGAGCTATTCATCAGGAAATCCCACTCTTGATGGGATGTGCATATGTGGGTTATTTTTCCTGTTAAGAAGTCTCTAAGTTTGGGGGGAATTTGACCCCTAGAACTGTGCCAGATGCTCTCTCTGCTTGAGCTTGAGCCCTTCACCTTTCCCGGTCTCCCATGTCTCTCTTTCCCTCTTTCCCTTGCTTTGTTTTACCCACAAACATCTAAAAGGCACCTGCTCCACACTAGGGTGTGGACAGTGCCTGCTGAATCTACACGTTACATGTAGCTAAAAATCTTCTACCCAGATAGATAGATAGATAGATAGATTTCCAGATGTCTATAAGTATCAAAAAAGTGTAAAGTTTAGGGCAGGAATAGGGAGTATTTAATACATGGTCAGTATATGTTTATATATAGGTAAATATTTGTGAAAGATTTCTCTGATATTATGAGTAGCAGACCCTGCAGGAGATAAGGCTTGTGTACCTGTGACATACCTCTGCGAATGCAGTATGGTTACGCCATGTTTGAAGGTGAGGAAACCACAACTCCAATTCAAGGTTGACATATCTTGCTCAGAATCACGTGGCTTGTCCAAGATAGATGGGGATTTCACACTCTGACTGGTGCCAAACTCAAAGCCAATTCTTTTGCCATGGCATCTCTTTCATAGTCCAATTAAAATATAGGGGGATATGTCAGCAGGTTTATGGGCATTAGAATTAATGGTGCATTTATATCAGTGTAAAAATAAATATATATTTAATATATGCACACACATACATATGAGGGTCTTCAGAAAGTTCATGAAGATGTGTATATTGAATAAAAAACTGCATACATTTCAAAGTCTATTGTGGGAAAAGAAACTTTTTAAATCAATTCATTTTATTTGAAAAGTAGTTCACTTTCCAAAAGTCCATCCCAGCTCAGATTGGGCCTGATGAAACCCAGAAGTAAGAACTCAATCTAGCTTCCCTATGTGGAAGGCGGGGACTCAGCTACATGAGGCATTTCCTGCTTCCTCTCAAACATGCACCTGCAGAAGGTCGGAACTGGCAGTGCAGCTGGGACTCAAACTTTGACACCCCATCACGGGATATGGGCATCTCAAGGAGCAACTTGACATGATGCTAAATATTCGACCCTGAAACTTGTCATTTAATTCCACGCGCCGCAAATATTTTGAAACACCCTGCTACAAGGTTTGATTGGCATTTTCAGTAAAAGGCTGAGATCAGCTTTCCTCAATGAGGAAAATCCTGCCTGAAGAGACTCTCCTTTGAACCTCACTCTCTAGTTCCAGTTCCCTGCCAGTGAATAGCTTAGAAAATCCAGCTTTCAGAATTCAGTGTTTTCACTGAGTACAGATACACCCACTTAGCTGAAGGGGCTGCACAAATATCTGTTTGTGTTGTTCCATTGAAGGATAGTAACTGGATTTCTGCCTGTTACTCCATTCTCTTGTAGAGCAATGGTTAATTTAAGCATGTGTCAGATTGTAGTCCCAGCACGTTTTTACTAATGTCAATATTTTTGCTACCTAATAGCACATGGTATTATACCTGGAATCTTCCAGCCTGGCAGGGTGCTATTACAAAAGATTGCTTAATTGTAGATTACTACTGTACATTCAAATTTCAGTAGCGTATTAAGTTGTCAGACTTAATTACCGTTATATGTTTAGATTATGCCACAGATTATTTAGTTCGGTATCCAGGTTTGCCAACCTGTTCTCTGGGTGACATGACAGGGCAGCAATTAGAGCATTACTGGAAAGCCTGATGTTTTCCAGGGAGATGTCCTGGAGGTCTGGTGTTCTTACCGATCCTCTGGCGAGTCTGGACTCTGCTGTCCCTCGGCCTCAAGCTCCCCTGGCGAATCTGTGTAGAATAGTTTTGGTGGCTTAGGCTTGAATTTCTAAGTTTGGAACGGCTGTGAAGATGATCTTACAGAGTTGTCACCAGATACCCAGTGGCAAAGTCTCTGACACTGTTGACATGTCTTTCTTTTTTTGAGAGAAAGAGTTTGCTGCTCTTATCCATGGATTCACTACCTAGAGGCCTACAATTGCCAAGGCTGGGCTGGGAATTCAATTCGGGTCTCCCATGTGGGTAGCAGGAACCCAACTCTACCTGCATAATCACTGCTATCACTGTGCATTGGTGGGAAGCTAGAATTGGCAGCTGGAGCCAGGATGAAGCCCAGGGAGTCCACCATGGAACACCAGAGTCTTATTCACTGAACATCTCATCCCATTTCTGTGCCATGCGGAGTCATCTTTGGTGTTACAAGAGGTTTATCAGCATCTCAGACCTCTCCCTGCTAGAAGAGCCACTACTTTCTCAGTTGCGATAACCAAAAGAATGATCAAATGACATCAGGTGACAAAACTGCACCTCAATGAGAACCTCAGAGCTACAGACAGGAAATGAAGCCTGCCCATCAGCCAGCCATCTTCTGATGCAGGGCATCAAAGATGTTTTCTACTTCCTGCGAGAATCCCACCTTCTATTAGACTTCAAATTCTTAAAAGTATTCACATTTCTGTCTTGAAGCTGGGTTAGAAGAGGAGTATTGACACAAAACAGGAAGAAGGGTGAGGGGGGTCAGCGAAGTTTCTCTGGAAAGTGAGATTGTCTGCTAACACACTCTAGCTAGCTTCCTTCATTAGCAATTGTGTTTGGCAAAGTACATATGGTTCTTATGCCGCCTTGAAATGCGCTCACAGTCTGGCGATGGCTTCATAGTAGGCAAGCAGACTTGATGATCTTTGCTAGATGGGTCATGGAAGCCTCTGCAGGCCTATATAATCTCCACACTGTGCTATGCTCCTTGCTCCTTGCTCAAAGGCTTTGGGCAAAGCACCACCCAGATACTTCAACATCCCATTCCTTCCTGTTCCTCCTTCCCAATCCTCCCCTCTTTCACTACCCCCGCCTCACATCTCTCTCTCCTTCAACCAAGCCCAGCAGTTGTTCTTGTCAGGTTATCTTCCTGGCCTGTGCCAGAGTACCTGACACCGATTACAAAAGCAGTCTGTTTCTGTTAAAGGAAGGCATGTTGAAAATTGCTAGGTGTAAAGGAAACCAGAGTTAGAATCATAGGTTTATGTCTTTCTAGCCTATACGGGAGGTGAGGTTTCAAAACAAATCATAGTGGGAAGCCCTACTCACATGCATCATTAACTAGATGGCTTATGGTGGTGTCAGTTCCTCCTGGGACTTCGTGTGCACATTTTCATCTGTATGTGGGTGATTCTTTTCCTTTTACAGTGGATACTTCTTCTCTGTCCAATCATGGAGAGTCACAAACATGCACATAAACATTCATAAATCATGTACAGATATGAACAGTGACCCTGGTAGCTGAGCTAAGGCTTCGTGTGGCAGAATGCAACAGCATGGTTTGGAAGTCTCTGATTTTTTTCAGCCAAGGCAGACTCACACCTCATCAGTCTGCCTTTGCATAGCACTTTGTCAGCCACGGAAGAGCTTCTTTGCAAAACACTGTGACACCCTGATGCCCCGGATGCTGAGTTAGGTTTGATTGCCTAGTGAGGGTGTGTCTAATCTTGTAGCTCTTTTTGTTCAACTGCTAGAGATTAGATTACTCCTTTATTCCTTTGTCTGAAGCACTTGCTGTTTTTCCTGCCTCACAGTAGCATCTGGGAGTCACAGAGGGTTCCTGAAGTTTCCTAATTTGACTCATGAACATTTCCATCCACAACCGCAACCTTGAAAAGCCTGCCATTCTGAATCCTCCAAATGCACGGGCAATGGAATCATTGTGGTCAGCAGCACTTGACCTTGATGTGGAGGGGCCATCTTCCTCCAGGGGCCTGGGGGGATTGGAGGGATCCAAGGGACCCCAGTCATGCTTCACTTGGATTTTTTTTTTTAAATTGAAAAATCTGTTTCAGATAAAAAAAAAAAAAGTCTCCAGTACTAGTACTTTCAGATTAGGTTAACTGACTGATAGTCAATTTTTAGAAATAGTCTAATATATAAGCCTTTTCCCATTTGGAGGGTGAAGGAAAAACACAATTTAGTGGGAGGAATGAACCTCAGATGTATTTGGGGGATAGTGTTCCCCACAGGCATCCTGTTCAGTGGTTCATTTACTTCAAGTCAGTAGCTATTGGTTCAGCATCTGCTAAGTGATGGCAATTGAACTAGGCACCAAGAGGGGCCCTAAGGAGAGCAAGGCAGGTGGTCCCCATTGTGAAGAGATGGCTGCTTCTTTCTGAACTAGGACATTGTTTTTAGCAGGGAGCAACCTTAGAGATAATCTTCTAAAATTCATATATTGAAAGCACCTTGAGTAGTAAAAGACAATTGTAGTCCCATTCTTTCATGGAACCAAAATGTATAATTTACGTATCTATAAGATCCAATGAGAACTGATTCATAGGAATACACCAATTGCTCCACTCACTGATTTTCAATAAAATAACAATAGAAATAATAGTTGTTATAGCTCTGTGATTTTTCTTTCTAAAGTAGGAAGACAATACTGCATATGACTCCATGTGGTTTTGTCTCTTAGTACTAAATTATAGGGCAATGTAGCATTATAATCCTGCTGCAGGACTGCCAGAGCTGGGTGGGTCTTAAAAGGAAATTTTTTATTCAGAGAAAAGATTTTGATGATTCAACCTCTTTCTCCCCTGTGCTTCAAGTCCATTAGAGACAAGTTTTTCCCTTTGCCTATTCCATGTTTTCTAGCATCTTCCTACCACGGGTGCTGCTCTGACCTGTCGTGGTGTGGGCACTGGTGCTGATACGCAGTGATCCGATGTTCAGGGTAGTCATGATAGTCTCTGTATCCACCTGAATCTTGGTACCGGATGGCCTTGGCGGGGGGGTGGGGGGGGAAGATGTCACACACCGAACAGTACTCTATGTTGGCCACACGCAGGTCTGCAAGATAGAGTGCCCATCCCTAAGGATAGAGACACAGTTGTGGGGAGAAGTTT